TGTTTTCTTTTTAGCAACAAGTACTGTACATTGGTTGCCATAGAAAAAATCAATTTGTTGCATTGTTTAAACGACTGTACTACTAGAATTGTATCTCGTATACAGCATGTAAGTATTTTTATTGTAGTACACTTAAAATATAAAATAACAAGTTATAATATTGATATTAATATACATATACAGAACTTTATATATATGTATAGGTACGTTAATCGGCAACTGATAACCTGGATTGCCAGTGTATTCTGGCTTCCTCTGTTAATTAGTCAATAATCCGAATTCGTTTTAGTAAAATCTAGCACACTATTGCGAATGGCGCATGAACAATGTAGTCTACATATTTGGAAAATAAATATACGCACAAAATTATTGTTAATATTTATTTTTGTGCTGCAACGTGTTCAGTAACTTCTTATAGGTTTCGCCACTAAATATTTATAGTGCAGTCATACAATGTATTATGTTCCGACTGAATAAACTGAAAACTGTAGCGTGCGCCCATACAAAATGTGTAGCAATATTCAAAATTTTCACATGGCACGTAAGTTAGTAAAGCATGGGAAAGGTTTTAGATTTATTTGTACACGAGAACGCCACATATTGGCGATTTTGCGGGGAATGCCTCTCGGGAGGTTCTTTATGAAAAACTTGCTCCTATTTAAGTGTTCCTAACGTGAAAAAAACCCGGAAACTCCACGTGCCTAGCCCCATCGGCGAGGCGCCAACCAACAACCAGTATACTACGGTTTTATTATCCGGTCACTGGTAGGCTCAAACCTAGCGAAAATAAAAAATATCCGATAATTCGACACCACTTTAGTCGGAATAATTAATTAGAAATTGCCTCCCAGAGGAAGTTTCTTTCAGAAACTGGTTCTATTTAGGTGTTATACTCGCGAGAAAAATGCTTCGAACTCCATGTGGCCAGCCGCGAACACGCAATAATCAAGTACTGTAGTGAGGAATCGAAGTTGTTAGACTAACAGATTTGTGTACGTGAATACACAAATATATATATAATATGTAGACATATGTATAAAATATATATAATATGTAGACATATGTATATATAAATTTTACATATGTATTAAAGTATAAAGTCATGTAAATATGTTCAACATAGCATTTTTTATATTTTAGAAAATAATAGAATATTATTAATGTCTTTTTTTACTTTTGATATAGAAGAATAGTCAATATGGTTCTTACTTTAGAGCTAAGTTTCATACTGATTACTTGCAGTAGTTTTAAATATTTTAAATATCCCTGTGACAGTAAGTATACTTTTACGTCGTATGAGTACATAGAAGTAAATATTGTCATTAAAATCTTAATTTAAAAGGAATATGTTTTTTGCTGTTTCTGCAATGTATATATCAATTTAAGAGAACCCTTTTTTACCTATCGTGTTTTTGAACACAATTAGTCATCTTGATGTTAAGAGAAAAATTCAACATATTGTGATAATGCGGGAAGCGCACCCTACTCTTCCGCATTACCTGACAGATGACTTGACATTGCTTCGGCGATGACTACGTCAGGATAAAAGACATCACACAGCAACTAGAGCTGTTTTTGTTTACTCTCAATATTAATGTCGTGATGTCACGCATGCAGTCACGTGCACAGGCGGTAAGATTCGAGATGCAGGAGATTTGAAAGACGGCGAGACGCGTGGAGGTCTGAGATATGGCGCGAAGAAAATGAATCACTCGGATGACAGGTTGACATCTAACAACCGTTTAGTTTCACAGAAAAAGATTACATGATACAAACTCCGTAATATATCAATTTAACTGTCCTTTATCGTAAGTAGTCGCGAGAGAGAAAGTTCATATGAGATTCGCGTGGAGATAAATATCTGTAGTTTGAATGATTTCTTTGTAGACCTGAGGCAGGAGAGGATACGGTCTGCCCCTTAGAGCGGTTAAATAAACGAAGTGGTTGGCATGTTAGAAGAATTCTGCGTAATTTTCGGGTTTGAGTCAATCTCAGTGGCGGACTAAGACTAAAGCGGGCCCTAGGCAACATTGTAATTCCGGGTCTATTTTTCAGTCATGACACATATAATACTTTGCGTTTGGTAGTTTGGTTTTAAAGCGTATAGTATGTAGTTCTATTTAATTATCGGATTTAAAAAAAAAAAGGAAAAAAATAATATACATGTACAAAAATTAAATAAACATAATTTATTAAAACAAACAATAATACTTAAACAAATATATCCAGATTGATTAGTTATATTGCCTTTTTTCTCACTTTTAATTCTGCAAACTCGTCAATTAGTTTGTCATAATTAATAGAGTTATTTAATAACTCTTTTTCTATATAAAGTAATGATAAACTATTTAATTTTTGTTGGCCTAATGTGGATCTTAAAAAATTTTTTATTCTGGCCATTACTGAGAATGATCTTTCACCGCTTGCATTGCTTATTGGAAGTGTTAAATAAATTTTCAGAATTATGTTTAAATTAGGGAATGTTGCAATAATATTATTTTCCTGAATAAATGACCACATGGATACAAGCGAAATAATATTTTCTTTACTTATAAAAATCTTAAATTGTAATACTTAATTTTTCAGTTCTGCTAGGTTTAAATCTTGTTCATAACATTTTAATTTTTCTATTGGAGAGTCACTAACATCACTATCATGAAAAATTGTTTTGAATTTATTGTTAATAGTTTTATATCTCTCAGATCTTTTTTTAATGTTGCTAACTAAAGAATCGCATACAACAAAAAAAAATATTAACTTTAAAATGTTCTTTGCCACTGAATCTTATTTCATGTTCTGGAATTTCATCATGAAATAGTTTTCGTATTTTCTGCCGTTTTTTATCATTAGTATATGCAATATCTTTAACTTTTTCTGCTTCTTTTTCTAAATTGTCAAAATCATCTCTAACAGTTTGTATGAAATCTATCAATGAATGTAATAGAAATAAATTCATCACATATTGTAGACGACAAATAGTTTATAGTACCGGTGTCGCAGTTTGCATATTTTTTCATGTGTTCCCGCAAAAATGAATCGAACTCGGATAAATATTCCAAAGCACCTATATAATTACCATTATTTTCACTGAAAAACACTTCATTTTTACCACGAAACGCTAAAGAGTATGAAGAAATAAATTTGATTGTCGCTACCACACGTTTAAGTACTTCCCTCCAATATTTTTTTTCATTTATAATTTGTTTTTCCAGTTCAGTGTCAATGCGTCCGGTAATTTTAGATCTTGTTATAAAAATTAAAATGGAGTTAATGTGGTCACTGGAGTTTTCATGCTCTGACAATTTTTTATGTACGTTTTTCCAATCATTCGTCCCTTTTGTCATTGGCGTTGTTTGCTTGGAAAATAATTTACAGACGTAACAGTACAATAAGTTGTTAGTTTCAGTATAAGCCAACCAATCTCTTTTAACTTTTTCCCCGCTATTAATAGTTCTGAAGAAGGAGGCAATAGTTAATTTTCTTGTGATTTGTTTTGACCCTTCGTTGCATCGAATAGAAGATGATTCCAAAGATCTATTTATTGATTTTGGTGGATTTTTTATATAATACTCTCGCATGGCGTCTGTTAAGTATTCTGGCCATAATGCAATATCGTTTACGAAGCTCTTAGTTTCATCATTACTTTGAGATGATTTTAAATTTATATTTTCTCCTTTTGTTTTATCTTCACAAACGGAATTGCTTGGTTTTTCCTGCTGGTCTTTTTGCAGAATAGTTTCGGACACAAATGATGTTTCTGGAGTTTGAGCAGGTGAAATTTGTGAAAATGATGACGATTGTTGTAATTGTTCTCCATCTACAGTTAAAAATTTGTCCAACGATCTTTTAATTTGTTTTGCCACTTTATCTCGATCTGCTTTTTGTTTTTTTTTTTTTTTTTCACTTCCACTTAAATGTTTATAGGAACTCATTTTAAAGACCACATACTAAAAAGAAAGAAGAAAATGATCTTCAATTAAATTTATTTTTACTCAATATCACAATCACAAACAAAATCACAATTTGTGGTATTTTATATTATATATTATTTTAATTAAATAATGTAATACTTTTATAAAAACTTACATTTTTATTTTAGGAATTCCAGAAAGTATTAACTATGAATCCAAAACAATCTATTTGCAATCAAGTCTAGGTACTTAAGTCTTAATTGCACAATTTTCAATCACAACTCACATAAGATGCAATACGTTCAGGAGACACTGATTTTAAATAGCTACGTTTGACTTTTTAAACACGTGCATAGTAAAGGCTCGATCGTATTTACACACATCGACACTCGAGGGCGTGGATGCATAAGCTCGAGAACACTCGTCGACTTTATCAATCAACGATTCGGCATAATTCGGATACGTTTATAAAAATTAAAAACCTAATTTTCGGGTCCCAAAAATTACAGGCCCTAGGCACGTGCCTAGGTTGCCTAGGCCTTAGTCCACCCCTGTTGCAGAGGAGAGCGAGTTTGCATCTTTGCTGTTGATACAACTCTCTTTGAGGGATTGCGCAAATATTTCAATGGTTTCAACTGTTCTAAGTTTGCTATTGTCAAGCATACGAATAATAATCTTCCTCTCTTCCCATTTGGTCGTTATATTTGGTTCACTTGCAAATTGGGCTAGGGTGGAAGTGAACTTTTTGTTGTATGTGTCGTATTTGTGTTCAGCTATCCTCCTTTCAAGCAATCCCAACCACCATTTGAATGGTTAAGTCATTGTTACTAAAAACAATTGTTTTATCATTTGTTTGTGTGTACATCTATATTCAAAAACTACTTAACAGATATTTAATCACATCATCATTCTTTTACAGGAGCAATATTTAAAGTCTAATGTTTATAATTTGTGTGGAAGAATAAGTTGAGTCACCTTCTGCAAGTGTAATTATATACTTGTGAAAGGAAACTCTAAGCATGATAAATACCTTATGTTATAAAACACGTGTGGAAAATTCATAAGTGTGTACAAAGAAATATGCAACAATCGCGTTAAAATCTTTTAATTCTTTTTGTATTTACAAAAAGTTTTTAAAACTCGCGAATGAATTAAAATCAACAAGATTTCTCACAATCCAAATCTCGATGGTGTTCTTCGAGGTGTTCCCGGTTCTAATCTCCCAGGTGTGGCAATCTGATTTCTGTAAATGTATTTTATTAATTACCTTTTTTTACAGTACAAAGTAAAGATAGAAAAAACAATGCTTTACTTTCTGACGGAAATGCAATCACGAGATTTCTGTTCTTCTCTTCTCTGTTTCAGCTGTTCTTGAGCCAGAGCCATTTCTTCTTCCATTTGGTTCTGGTTCTGCTTGGCCATTTTGCGTCTTTCCTATTTTAAATTTTATAGATTTTTGAGTTTATCAATTTAAATAACAAAAACAAAAGTTAAAACCATAAACTACCTGTCGGGACTTAGTCGATTCTTTAATGCTATAGAACATTGGACCCAATTCGGCCAACCATTGTCCATCAACTGCAGTCACACATTGCATGTATTCCTGAAATAGTTACATAATATCGTCAAAGAAATTAACTAACTAATAAATAAATATCGATTTCAACATAACATCCAATTGTTCTTTTCTACTACAAAGCTATGCTTTATAATTAAATTTGATTGTTATCTAAAAATATCTTTAGATTAATGCCAGATTTCTACGCTACATAATATTGTTTTTATCAAAATAAATTAATGTCAAATGATGCCAGATTATGTGAGGGTCGTAAAAGCGCGTAGAAATTTCGACTAATTACAAACTTGAACGTCAGAAAGTTTCGAAGACAGAATCGGGTCAAGGGGATGTGTTAGTGACAAAGCCCAGATGAGACGAAAACTTTCTCGAATTGTAAAACAAACGCGACGCGACGATAAATAACAGGGGGGAATGTCGACAGAGAGAGAGGGAGAGCTTTGTCGGGATGCGCGCGAACAAATTTCGGGTCGAAGCAAGCGGGAGAAAGGGGGGTCTAAGAACAAAAGGGATATCTGTGAAGTAAGAACGCGGTAGGGGATAAATGGCCACAAGAACATCTGGTGAACCGTTTGGGTTCCAAGATGACAGAGAAAAGGGACATAACGGAGTAAAATACGAGCGCGAACGTTAAAGGACCGTCATCACCTCTCCGACCTTTTCCCGACCCGAATCGGTCTCGGGTTTCGCCTANTGAAATCACACTCAGTATTAAATGTTCTTGGGAAAGATAAATCGTAAATCCCTTAATGGAAAATACTTATAAAATAAATATATGTGTAATTTTCAGAAATGATTCCAGGGGAATTCATTCAGAAAGAACATATTGTGCATATGGTGAAAGAGCGTATTCGTTATCCGAATGAAGTGAGTTTGTTTTATGATTCTGGGGATCGTCATTTTGCATTTACTGAAGTTGTCAAAAACTCTTCTTTTATAGAAGTAGAAAAAAACGCCGTTAAGATTGTAAGTAATCAATATTACATGTAGCTTTTACGTTATTATTATTAATTTTCCGAAACTGTTTAATATATTTATACTTAATATCTTCTGTATAATTTTCAGAATTTTACTTCGTTAAAATATTAATCGACTTTTATATATTTTAATTACGTGTTGTTTAACTATTATTATTTTAATTTGCCAATCAGTTGAGGTTTACTAATTACCACTTAACATTGGTCGTGAGTACTCACTCACCTCAGTTTCTTCTAGCCACATAGTGTTTATGATGTTCTTTTCACACACACAACACCTAAGTAAGGACTGTTTCTTGTAGAAAGTCCTGCTTCAAGATAGCCCTTTTGACAAATCGCGGATGTATTAAGCTGTTGTCGATTATTAAACTAAACCAAGCACTATGAGATTTAAATATACAGTATTTGTGAAAATACCCTGACCTATTGTGTGAATAAGGTGAGATTGAATTTATCGGAGACCCATTAAAATATCCTGTGATGGTTCCTGTGTATTCGATTCTCGGCCTCCAGAACGTTATCGTGGCTAACCTGTATCAGATTGTAAGATTAATTGGATTAAAGCAAAGCAACACATGGGTAATCTGTCAAGAAGGAAAGATTCCCGTGAGGAGTTTTTATGGAAAAATTGACCTAATGTGGGAGATGTTTAAAGAAAACCTGAAAATCTCCTTTTAACTACTCTATCAATGAGGTATAACCCATGACCGCCTACTAGATTTTATTGGTTCCATCCACTGGGAGACAAATACTCTTTTTTACACTAGTCCACTAGTAAGTCCAATTCGATGTATCATGGTAAGATGTTAGTATTCCTCAATTTATGTGTTTTCATATATTTTAATATACTTTTACTTCTACGTAGACTGCTGTCCACTCGTATAGCACTCGTTCATATAGTAATTGACTCAACTCTTTTTATAGTATAAAATCGTTTCAATAAATAAAATTTTATATTTACAAATTTTTAATAAGTTTAATCTCTCCACGATGTATTTGTATTTATTTCAAAACTACTTGTTAATTAGTGTAATTTTTCTATAATTACTGAAACACGATAATGCTTCTATTATCTAGTATAAGGGTGGGCAAGCAAGAGTTCAGTGGGAGCCAAAAAGTAGGTTTTGCAAAATGCATGGGAGCCGCAGTTCTGTGCTTTTTTATTCTGTAGTGCAGTTCTGTACCGTGATTTTATTATATAATATAAATATTATATAAAATAAATATTGAATTTTTTAATAAACATATTTTTACAAAATTGTAAAAATAAATTTGTAAAAATAATAATAAAAACCAGAAATTAACACTTTCAGCAAGAGTCGCATGCAACTCAAAAAGAGCCGCATTTGCCCATGGTAGATCTAGTACTTTATGAACTATTATCACTTCACTTCCAAATAAAAAAAATGCTTCTCTTCATTTGGCTTTCTTTCTGGCTCATCAACTGTAGTTTCACGCAGTTATAGATTTTGGTGTGTTTACTCAGCTATCTTTCTAGTTTCCTCTTCTGTTTTCTCTTCCATCTGTAAATTAACTGTATTTCTGTGTAAGTATAGTACCGTGTAAACCACAAACATTTTGTTTTCTAAATAGGTCTTATTACACAATATAGTTACACTTCATTTTATCTACGAACTTAACGTACTGTACATTGTATAAACTGATTCTAAAATCAATTTATACAATGATTCTACTTTATACATAAATTAAATTGTTTTCTACAAAATGACCGACTCTTCTTAAAAGTGTCAAAAATTAAATGTATAAGAATTGTACCTTTAAAAGTTTATCAGGAACGTATTTCATTTCCAAGAAATAATGACCATATGTTGCAGTGCCTATTGTTTTTTTTACACAGGTAAGCCAAGCCGTTTTGAATATTGTCTCTTTGATATCTTTCTGATTCGATTCCTGTAATATTAATTAATTCAGCGTATATGTGTTTTGAAAACTTACTGTTATCTTATGAGTATTAAAAGCGCCTTTTTCCAGGCTTGTCATGTGTTTGACAACGCATCAATAGAGGGAGATGAGTGATGAGGCGAAGCCTTACATATGTAAGACAAACCTACTAAGAAATTATCCGGAAGTTTTAAAATTTTTCACATTTGATAACGAGTCTGATAAACTTGCTTTAATATAAATTAATATATTATTAGAGTATTTTAATGCAAATAATACAGTAGTTATTATAATTAACATGATTTTTACTTATATACTGACATTGTTATAATTATTGACTGTTTCAGTGCAGCAATTATGATCTCACTTCTTGTAAAGTTTACAATAGAACAGAAATAACTAAATACGAAATGTTAAAACCACAACGGATGATGTTTGGTGTAGAATTAGTAAGTATGAGTAAGCCTAAACATTTTTTCATTTTAATTTTTAAATATTTCAGAATTATTTCCGCATAATCTTATAATACTTCAAGTAGAAAATAAAGTAAATTTTTTCTTATGTTCGTAATTCGATGTTACATCTTTCGTTACTTTACGTAAATATTTAATTTAAGTTGTCATTTATTATATAAAACTTATTACACAAACTCAGTGACTTAAATATCTGAATCTTTGATACTTCTACATCACATCAAATTTCGGCATTGTTACATTGTCACCCGAAACAATTTGAATTTAAAGTCATTTTTTCATTTTGTTTCATTCACTGTATTGCTTGGCTTTTTCCTTGGCCTGCAGGTACTAAAGAAACCATTGTTTCTTTGTCAGTCTTGGAGTTGTCCCACTCGCAATGAGAGCGGATAAGTACTGAGTGATAGGTCCAACGTATTCGGAACAAATCACTGATAAAGAATTACTGAGTCGCTTGGTCGAATTAGAATTCGGATTATTCCGAGCTATTGCACAATATCTGCCAACCGGACATAATTGTCTTCTTTTTTGTATACTGCTGTTCTATCTCTTAACGTTGAAAAAGATGTTTATGCATTCTATAGTCTCTCATAACTTTAATTGCCCTGAAAAAAATGGAAGTTTCAGTACCGTTTGAGATTACAGTAAAAGTGAAATTAAATTCAAGTACAATGCACATATTTACCGGTATTTTGAAATTTTGTATGCTGTCAATGTTTCACAACTTTCTGTTATTCATTACCTAAATTTCATTGAATCAAATTAAATTAGGCTGTATTCTGTATATTTGCTAAGTTCCAAACTTTATAATATATGTAGTAGTTGTTTTGTATAATAAATAAAGATAAATCGAGAATTTAGCTGAAGTCATCTTCAAGAAAAGGTATTGTGTATTTTTATTATAAATTGTTAATTGTTTGAAAATTGCTCGAAAAATCAGATGACTGATAAGTGCTGTGATGTCACTCCGTTGACACAAACTGAATGTATGACAGTCTGTGTACAAGACACTGGATAAATAATAATACTAGAAAGCCTATTTTAAAACATTTATATTATAAAAATTTTCATATCTTTACTAATAAAATAATAATTTTTATTTTATTGTTTGTAGTTATACGATTACTTGCAGATGATCCTCTTCTTAACAGTAACCATCCATATTAAACAAATTAATAAATCACAAAATTACATATTAATTAACTTTATAAATTAAAAATTAACTTTACAAATAATGTAACCTTTCTTATACACACAGAAAACAATAACAACGTTCTTTTGAAAATTCTCAGGAAATTGTTTTCCAAATTCAAAAATAATTTATTTTACAAAAATTATTTGTAAAATAATTTTCAAATCAGATATATTAAACATTCGTAATGAAATTTAAAACATAAATTTAGAAAAAAATTATTTTAAATTATAAAGTAATCATAATTTGTTTTTTAGAGCGACTTGATTGAAAAATCAGATGGAAAAGAGACATTTGTTACAAAATACATCAAGCTATTACAACATGTTCTTGGTATTACGTATGTTTTCTTTACACTATTACTAAATCATACTAGACATGTTAAATACAATTTACTTATTTTGTTTTAGGTTTGAAATGACAGTTTGGTTAAGAACGGTAATAAATATATTTAGCGATTATATTGCTACAAAATATATTTTAATAAATTTAATTTATTCAATAGTCAGACATCGCCATCATCGGT